ACTTTTGTGAGTTGTGCCTTATGCCTTATTTGTGAGCCAATGCTTGAGCATGATTTTATCGCCTCATGAACTTCCTTCTCAGCATGTTTTGGCCTCTAATTTGGCATGTTTGAGCTCTGTCCAAAGCTGGTGTGGTTGTTTAGGCTATGTATGGCATGCCTCTTGTATGATGTTCTTCACTAGCCTTAGTGTTTTGGGCCCTTAACATGTCTTGCATGCATTGCTTACATGATAAAGTCTTGTACATGCCACTTTAACATTGAAGTGTCTGCCATCTTTCCCATTAGAGGACTTTCACAATTGGACCAACCGGTTAAGGAATTGATTGGTAATCTAAAATGTGTAAACAAAATCAACCAAGTAAAACATGCCAAGATAAGCATGTTGTTTGCATTGCATGGTGTTCAATCGGACGTTATATTGAACACAAGATGAATTGGTTCATTGCATCCTTGAAGTGATGAAAATGAGCCAATTCTCTTTGTCTCCATTGCCTTTGATCACTCATGATAAGGCCGTGGTCTTAGTGTCTTGTTTGTTGTGCATTTATTGAATGTGTACAAGTTGGGTCTTAGACCATCATGCATTCAAAATGCTTGATTGAATGTTTTGAGATGATAAGGAGGGGCATAGTACATACATGTTCTTGGGAGACCCTCTATTTTCCTCTGTTTTGTGCTCTGTTGCAGTTTGGTGTCACATCACACCAGTGGCCGGCAGTGCCACACTGATGGCCGGCACCCTTGCATTGTTGGCCGGCAGAGGCCTATCCTTGGCCGGCAAATGGCCGACAGTAACTCCTTATGGCCGGCAGGCCACTGGTGCACTCCCCAGCATTGGTTTGGTAAGTTTCAGCAGTAAGTTCTTGAAGACACCCTGCAAACAGAGCCTCTAAAAAACAAACCAAAAGGCTTTTCGGGGTGAGAAACCGAATGCGAGCATGCATGTTCAATTTCTTGAAACAGAGCTGAGGCAGCATAGTTTGGTGCTTCACTTGTTAGTTAGCACCTCAATGTGTATTTAATTAATTTGTTAATTAATTAAGTGTTGTAATAATTAAGCAGCTTAGTTTAGCTATTTCTTTATTGGTTTGTAATAATTAGTCTAATTAGCTTAATTAGATTAGTTAGAGTAGATTAGCTTAGATTAGCTTAGCTTTCATTCGGACCCTCTGTCGAGAGGGCACAATGTTGTAATAAGGGTGCATGTGTGTGTGCATGTCTTCCAACCCCACTTCTTTCTCCCTTTTACTTATCAACTTTTGATGGTTAGTTTTAGGACATATTTCAATTAGCATACCTTATGCTTGCATGTTTGCATCATTCATTTGTCTTG